GCTAAAGCACTTGACTGCTAACCAGAAGGTTGGTGGTTCAAACCCACCAGCCACTGCTCGGAAGGAAGGTTGGACAATCTACTTCCGTAGTGATACTGCCTCGTAAACCCAAGGACTGGTCGCTATGAATTGGGTCTGACTCGACGGCACATAACAACAACAACAACAAATAATTATGTTAAAAACAAAGTTCAGACACATAGGTTAGAATACAAGACTAAGAATGATTAAGAATTGTTTTTGTTCTTGTTAGATGGCCTCAAGTCAGCTCTTACTCATAGTGACCCTATGTACAACAGAATGAAACAATGCCTGGTCCTGCATCAGCTTCACAATCCTTGCTATACCTGAGCCCATCATTGCACCCACTGCGTCAATCTATCTAATTGAGGGTCTTCCTTTTTCATTGATCCTCCAACTTTACAAAGCATGATACCATTCCCCAGGGAATAGTCCCTTCTGACAATATGACCAAAGTACATAAGACCACATCTGACTATTCTCACTTTCAAGGAGCATTCTGGCTGCAGTTCTTCCAGGACAGATTTGTTTGTTCTACTGGCAGATCACGGTACTCTCGGTATTCTTTGCCAATACCATAACTCAAAAGCCTCAACTCTTCTTCGGTCTTCCTTATTTATCATCCAGCTTTCACGTGTATATGAAGTGATTGAAAATACCATGGCTTGGGTTAGGCGCTCCTTAGTCTTCAAAGAGACATACTTGCTCTACAGCACTTTAAAGAAGTCTTTTGTAGCACATATGCCCAGTGCAATATGTTGTCTGATTTCTTGACTGCGGCATCCATTGGTGTTGATGTGGAACCAAATGATATGAAATCTCTGACAACTTCAATCTTTTCTCCATTTATCGTGATGCTGCTTATTGGTCCAGTTATGAGAATTTTTGTTTTATGTTGAGGTGCAACCCATACTGCAGACTGTAGTCTTTAATCTTTATCAGTAAATGCCTCAAGTCTTCTTGACTTTCAGCAAGCAAGGTTGTGTTGTCTGCCTATTGCAAGTTGTTAATGAATCTTCTTCCAATCCTGATGCCGCATTCTTCTGCATACAGTCCAGCTTCTCAGATTATTTGCTCAGGATACAGATTGAACAAGTATGGTAAAAGGAAACAACCTGACGTACTCCCTTCCTGATTTAAAACCATGAAGTATCACCTGTTCTGTTTGAACATCAGCCTCCTGGTCTACACACAGGTTCCTCATGAGCACAATTACGTGTTCTAGAATTCCTATTCTTCTCAAAATTATCCATTATTTCTTATAATCCACACAGTCGAATGCTTTTGCATAATCTATAAAAACACAAGCAAACAACTTTCTGATATTCATTGCTTTTAGCCATTGTATCTCTTGTTCCACGTTCTCTTCAGAATCCAGCTTCCATTTCTGGAAGTTCCCAATCAATATACTGCTGCAACCATTTCTGAATTATCTTCAGCAAGATTTGACTTGTGTGTGATATTAATGATATTGTTTGATAATTTCCATATTCTGTTGGATCACCTTGCTTTGGAACGGATACAAATATGGATCTCTTCCAGTCAGTTGGCCAGTTTTCCAAATTTCTTGGCATAGACGAGTAAGTGCCTCCAGTGTGGTAACCGTTTGTTGAAACATCTTAATGGTATTCTGTCAATTCCTGGAGTCTTGTTTTTTGCCATTTCCTTCAGTGCAGCTTTGATTTCTTTCTTCAATACCACTGATTCTCAATCACATGTCACCTCCTGAAACAGATGAACACTGACCAATTATTTTTGCTTTAGTGACTCTGGGTAACCCTCCCATCTTTTGATGTTTCCTGCATCCTTCAATATTTTGACCACAGAATCTTTCAATAACACAACTCAAGGCTTGAATTTTTTCTTCAGTTCTTTCAGCTTGAGAGATGCCGACCATGTTCTTCCGCTTTGGTTTTCTAACTCCAGATCTTTGCACATTTCATTATAATAACTGATTTTGTCTTCTTGAGCTACTATTTGAAATCTTCAAAGCTTCAGCTCTTATATCTTGTCATTTCTTCCATTTGCGTTAGCCACTCTTCATTCAAGGGCAAGTTTCAGAGTCTCTTCTGACTTTTGGTCTTTTCTTCCATTCTTGTCTTTTTAATGACCTTTTGCTTTCTTCATGGATGATGTTCTTGATGTCATCCTATAATTCCATTGGTTTTCAGTCACTGGTGTTCAATGCATCAAATCTATTCTTCAGATGGGCTCTAACTACAGGTGGGATATAGTCAAAATCATATTTTGCCTCTCATGGACTTGGTTTACTTGTCTTCAGCTTCAACTTGAACTTGCACATGAGCAGTTGATGGTCTGTTCCACAGTCAGCTCCTGGCTTGTTTTGGCTGAAGATACTGAGCTTCTCAACCGTCTCTTTCCAGAGATAGAGTTGATCTGATTTCTGTGTATTCCATTTGGTGAGGTTCACCAGTGTATAGCTGCTGTTTGTGCTGTTGAAAAAAGGTATTTGCGATGAGTAAGTCATTGGTCTTACCAAATTCTATCATGTGCTTTCCAGCCTCATTTCTCTCACCAAGACCCTATTTTTCAACTACCACCAGTGATTCTTCTTTATTTCCAACTTACACATTCCAATCACCAGTGATAATCAATACATCTTCTTGATTGCATGCCTGATCAATTTCAGATTGCAGAAGTTGGTAAAAATCTTTAATTTCCTCATCTTTGTCTTTGGTGGCTGGTGCATAAACTTGAGTAATAGTAGTATAAACTGGTCTTCCTTATAGACACATGGACATTATCCGATCACTGACAGCACTGTACTTCAGGATAGATCTCAAAAGATTTTTTGTGACAACAAATGCTATTACCACTCTTCTTCAATTTGTCTAACATTCCCAGCATAGTAGATCATATGGTTGTCTGATTCAAAGTAGCCAAAACCCATCCATTCCAGCTCAGTAAGGCCTAGGATATCGATCTTTATGCATTCCATTTCATTTCCAACAACTTCCAATTCTCCTACATTCATACTTAGGACATTCCATGTTCTGATGATTAATGGATGTCTGTAGCTGTTTTTTCCCATTTTGAGGCATGCCACATCAGCAAATGAGGGTCCCAAAAGCTTTACTACAATCACATCAAGGTCAACCCAACTTTGAGGAGGCAGCTCTTCCCTAGTTGTATCCTGAGTGCCTTGCAAGCTAAGAGGCTCATCTTTCAGCACTAGATCAGCCAATATTTCAGGGCTATTCATCAAATTTTCCAGTAATATACTAGACAGTGTTTCACTGATCTTCATAAGGTTTTCACTGGCAAATCCTTTGAGAAGTGGATGGCCCCCTCCTTCTTCCAATCTATCATAGTTTGAAAGCTTCACTGAAACCTATCGACAATGGGTGACTGCTGGTATTTGAAGTACCAGTAGTATAGCCTCCAGCCTCACAGCAACACAAAGCTACCACAGTATGACAAGCTGACAGATGAGTGGTGGAATGATTCAGAATAGGGCTATGAACTTTTCCCTCATTTTTATGGTGTTTTCTAAACTATAGTGGTGCAAAAGAGGGGTCACTACTCTAAACTAGTAACGAATCATAATGGTAAGACAGAGGATGTTACCGGACTCCTGATGTGATGCAACACAAGATACACCATTATCTGTGAGGTGACCTTGCTAAAAAAGTTTTCCTTGATACTAAGTGAGTCTTTCCAATTTACAGGAAACAAGCTAAATGACATCACAAAGAAGTAAACAGACACATCTAAAAGATGGAAATTTTATACAAGGCCCAGCATCTTCAACCAATTAGTATCCCGAGGGGAAAAAAGTATATTCAAGATTGAGAGAGTCAGTGGACAAAACAATCAAACACAATTGAAATAAGGAATTATTTTAAAATTACATAGGCATGAAATAGTTTGGGTATGTTGAAAACATTCTCAAATTTTAGAGCTATGTAATGATGCTTTAAAGAACCACAAAATCTGTAATAACTTATTTTAAAATAATTCAGCATATAAAAATTCCTGTGCATCCATGGGCTTAGTTTGGGTCACAATAATTGGGTGTTTGTTTGTAAGAGATACTGAAATACATTGGACTGTACAAGAGAAACTCAATTTTGAGTATAATTACCAGGTACATTAGCCAGTCTGACTCAACTACAGCAAAGGGATTTTTTTTAAATAAGTTCTGTAAATATTCAACCTGAGTCCAATTATCAAACAAGGGCTTTACACCAGAATCAAAGAAGTGGCATTACTGATTCTAATTCCTAGAGATCATTTTAAATCACTTAAATATATATGAGTACCAAATCAAAGCTGTAAAGCTCTATAACAAGACGTGAAAGTGTTGCTATATATTCTGACATTTTAAAGTTTATCTGATTCTAATATATCCTTCAAATTTAAAAGGATCGCTAACAGAGCATAAGATTTAATTTGCTGAAAAGTTTTTAATGACTAAAAGTTCTGTACACAAAGTGACCCAGACTGCCTTAAAACCTGTATATTATTCATTAAGACAACACAGGTGATGCAGAATTCACCAAAAAAAAGACAGTATGATCATATATTGCTGGCAAAAGTAAAATTTCTCATGTAAAAAGCAGGTAGGCAGTGTGCCATTTGTAAACAAGCCCTCCAAAATGTCAGTGGCCCCGTGAAGGCCAACTGAGCAGCAGTCTTACTCTATAATCATAGGTGGCATCTGGGTTCTCATCACAGGCGATGACCTCGGGAGCCATCCAGTAGGGGGTGCCAATGAATGTGTTTCTCCTCCCAACCGTCCTGTCCAGCTGGGCACTCACACCAAAATCAACTGTGGGAGCAAGAGAAAGGAAGGAAAAGTAGAACATAATTAGCACACACATTTTAAAAGGAGAAAAAAATGTAAGGAGGTGTCTTCAGAGCGAACTTAAACAGTAATGTTCATGAACATGCAATTCTCAAGGCAGGTCGCATCAGTAAGGACTGCCCTTTCCAGAGCAAAGCAACTAAGACTGAATCATCCTCCACACTAGCTTGTCTACAAGTTCCTGGTAGGCCTGGAATTGTTGTCTTCCAGAGCTTGCCCAACAGTAATCAGCAGAGGGCCTTCTGAATGAAAAGTGATTTTCAGAGAACATGACTGCCACAATCAAGTTACAGAAAATCCCAAGTTCAAGAGAACTTGCTCAAACTCACTTGATTTAGCTTCTTAAGCAGCAATAATACCTATATAAAGATAAGAAAGCCACAGATGGTTTCTTGGAAAGAATAGAAAACTGCATTAAATAAAAGGAATCAAGCAAAATCTCAAAATATACTAGGAAATATCCCTCAAAGCACATGGGACTTCTGGTTTCTCAGAGCAACTCCTACACCCCACCCAGTTTAATGATGGTGATGATCTAAAGGAAAAGTCCAAGATTTGGAGGAAGAGTGGCAGGAAATCCACAGATCTCTGGTAGAATATCATTATCACCACACACAGTGCCACTATACCCAGACCCAATTAGAATGCTGAGTGGAGCTAGAGGTGGAGGATTTCATGCAAAAGAGCCTAAAGTACTGAGATCATTCACAAGGGTTACAGACCCAATTTCTATGTACAAAACCTGGTCAGGAAACTACCTGGCCAGAAGGTAGGCTCACTCGCTGAATGCTCCTCTTGACACAGAGACATACGGGCCATGTAGTGCAGAAACCTAAACAAGCTTCACAGCAACCTGTACATCAACAAAAATCACTAAGTAATTTAGGAACTATCATAGGCCTAGCATCATTAGGCCAGTGCAGAGAACACAGGCAGTTCACTCAGCCCTTTAGAGTGCCTCCTATCTTAGTGTTCAGGGGATTTTCCAACTGGGCAGACTGTTCCTCCAAACATGAGCAATAAATGTAGGTACTATCAGGAAAGCAATTATGAAGATTTTATTTTTGAAAGTACATCTACTGTGTCCAAGATTTTTGAAAGAACATAAATAAATTTTTTTTTTTTTTTTT